TATGTTTCTCACAGGGGTCCTGATCAAGAATTCTGAAACTGCTTTGTGGATGTGCTAGGATTGAACACACACGATTGCAAATATGGCAGCCAGGCTCCTCCTCGTCAAAGGAAGAAGTTACAAATAAGCAAGGTGGAAAACAAGAATAAATTATGCATTGCTGCATTAGAGTTTGGGGTAGGGGTGGCATATCAGTATGAACTAATGCTTATTTTAAGATAAATAGATGATAGCTAAGTAGGTAAATGGATGGATGGATGGATGGATGGATGGATGGATGGATGGATGGATAATGGGTGGGTGGATAGATGGATAGGTGGATGGGTGGGTGGGTGGGTGGATGGATGGTTGGATGGATATAGACGTAGGAGAGATAAATGAGCATATAGATGGATTAGTACACTCATATATTTCCTCACTCTGTCCATTGTGAGGACTTAGAAATAGTAATACCCTAGTAGCAACTAGCACATCTACCACCTAGATCTTACTTTCTAAATAAAAGGAGTTAGAACTCTCTGGAGAAATGGCTAATTCTAGGGCTGGGGCAAGGAAAATGCATGATGGGCTTGGAGCATCTTGTAATGCCAGAAATCAAGGAAGTCAAGCAAGAGAGAGGAATATGTCAAAAGAACACAGGAGCCAACTTGAAAGAGTTCCCAGTGGACAAAGTTAAACCAATTTGAGCCACAAAATAAATAGTGATAGTGCTAGATTTTAACCTAATGAATAAAATAAATAACCGTGAGTCTGTGCTGATAGAAAATAAATAAATGGCAGAGAAGGGACAAATCTTCCTTACAGAACAATTCCAAATAATAAATGTATGAGGAAAGAATTAGAAAATTGCCATGAGAGCACCTCAGTAATCATTGTTCCAGGCAAAATCCATAGATAGATGCTGAAATTAGTAGGCAAAACTTTAAGGAGAACTGGGACATTTGTGTAGCCTCAATATACCTCCCCCAAATATTTACTAATTAATGTGATTTTAACTGTGTCTACATATCCTTTGCTGTTCCTCCCTCTAGAAGGGAGAGCTTGAGTCACCTCTCCTTGACCGTGAGCTACACTAGTGTCTCTCTTCTAACAAAGTATGGAAAAGGAAGACTAGCATCTTTATGGTGGAGAAACCCGGCAGACATCACCTCCACCATGTGCTCAAGATCAACATCAACGGTGATAAGTCATGGTTAACATCAGGTGACCTCTGGTGCCTTGAGGATCCATCAGCTGTGTTGTATTCTCATAATACATAACACCAGGCTAATCATGAGAAAACATCAGACAAACCCAACTTGATGGACATTCTACAGAATATTGAACCAGTATTCAAAGCTTTCCAGGTCAGGCAAAGCAAGGACAGACTGAGAAACTGTCACTATGGACATGTGACAACTAAGTGCAGCATGGTAGCGTGCCCTGGATTCTGGAATGGAGAAAGGACATTAATCAAAAACTGTTGAAATCCGAATAAAGCTTATAGTGTAATAGTGTTGTAGTGGTGTTCATTTCCTAGTTTTGGTAAATGCCTCTCAGTTATGCAACATGTTCACATCAGGGAAAACTGGGTGCAGGGTATCGAGGAACTCCGTACCACCTTATGACTCTTCTGTAAATCTAAAATTATTTCAAAATAAAAAGGTATTTTTTTTTAAGATTTTATTTATTTGTGTATTTGATGGAGGGAGAGACAGCGAGAGAGGGAACACAAGCAGGGGGAGTGGGAGAGGGAGAAGCAAGCTCTCCGCCGAGCAGGGAGCCCGATGCAGGGCTCGATCCCAGGACCCTCGGATGATGACCTGAGCCGAAGGCAGATGCTTAATGACTGAGCCACCCAGGCGCCCCAAAAAGGTGTTTTTTTTAATAGGAAAATCATGTTCTATGGTTCAGGGCCCAGCCACGCTCCTTCCTCCAGGAAGCTTCCCCCAATCTCCCCTGTACACTGGGCATGCTCTTCCTCAGGGCCCCCAAGCCTGCCCCCTCTGTCGCCCTCTATGCCCCTAGCATGTAAGACCTGAAGGGTTCCACTTCTTTTCGGGGATTAGATGAGCCTTCCAAAGTACACTGCGAGCTTCCAGACAGCAGAGCCTGACTTTCATGTCTTGGAGACCTTCATAGTCTGTGCCTTCCATGGGAGGGTGGGACTGAGGGCCCCCAGGCAGGCTTGGGCCCAGCTGGGAGCTGTGGGTGGCATTAGGAGAGAGCACTGGATGAAGTCCTTGTCCACAGAGCTTGTCACCTCCACTAGTTTATTCCAGGGGTTGGGCAGGGGTCTCTCGTAGAAAGTGAAGTTAAGCAGGGGAGACAGCTCATGGGATTTGCTCACTAGACTCTCATGGACAAGAAGAGGGTTATCTGAGATGTCATCCTATAAGTGTGCATGAGCCCTGAGTGCTGAACCACCAAGAGCTGAGGCACTGGGTGCCCAGGCACCTTTGCTGTGGGACCCCCTCCACCACTTGTCCAAACCCCAGATAGCCCGTCTACACTGAGGGCAGGAGGAGCATGTGGCTCAGCAGCGGCTGTGTCTGGAGTCTCAGTGGGGACCCATGCACTACAGGAGGACCTACAGCACTGCCAGAGGTAGCAGCTGCCCCAGAGGGTCCCTGCCCCCACCTGGGAGGCCTGCTTGGGCTCACATTGGCCAAGGACAGCCGCCAAGGCTACCTCAAGTCGAGTGGCTCCTCCTCATTGCCCACTGATGGGGAGCCAAGGCCCAGGACAAGTTATTGTAGGCACCTGCGAGGCCCTGGTGAAGGGGCAGGTGACAGGTGGGACAGTCTGAGGACAGGAAAGGGCCATGGAGAGGCTGACACCCATAGTCTGCCACAGGCAGCTCCTCCTGCCCTCCATGCACCCCTCTGGGACGTCTCTTCCAGACCCATGGCTTTGGTTATGACCCACAAATGCAGATCTCAGAGAGGCTCCTCCTCCTCCTCCAGGTCCATTTATCCTTCCAGCCACTGGACCCTTCCCCTGAATATCCCAAGTGCACATCCAGCTCCAGTCCCAAATAAAACTCAGCATCCCTCCTCAAACCTGTTCTTCCAACTCCCATTCTCCCCTCCATGACGGGCAGCCAACATCCATTGTCATCCTTGGCTCTCCCTCACCTCACCCCCACATCCATCCCTCAGCAATCCTACCTTCTTAATCTATCACCACCTCCCTAGTCCAAGGCAGGCCCATGGGAAGTGATCAGTAAATGTTTGTGGTGTGGGTGGATGGATCAATGAATGGGAATGTGGATGGGTGGATGGATGGATGGATGATGGATGGATGGACGGATGGGTAGATGATGGGTGGATGGATGGGCAGATGGATGGATGGGTAGATGATGGATGGATGGATGGAAGGAAATGGTGGGACTTTTACAGCTTAGGCAGCTTTGAGACTGAAGCCATTATACCTGTCAGTGCTTTTCTTGGGCAACACTCGGACCCTTAGTTTGATAAGGGCTGGGTTGAACATACTGCTTCCGGGAAGGGCCCAGAGCTAAGACCATCTTGAGTTACACTGTTTTGAGGAATCAGGCAGTCAGGATACTTGAACGTCATAGAGCACAGAATAGCCCATGCCAACCACTTCTGAGACTGCCCCACCCCTGGGGAAGCTGGAGCAAGCAAAAGGATGCCAGCTGCTGCCACATGGAAGGTCTTTGGCCTCTGGACTCTGTCCAGGACTCAGGACTGGGCTGGGAGGACACCTTTCCTCCCCCACATGCCTCACACGACATCCAGAGACATACACAGGAAGAGGCGTCACGTGGACATCTCTTTCTTTTTACAAAGACTTTATTGTCTGACATGCTTGACAAAAAAAAAAAAAAAATTACAGCCACAATCAAGTTATGCCAAAATGATTGAGGAGCACGCCATCATCTTTCATACCTCAAGGACTTTTAATGAATTTTCTTTCAAAGTAACAGCCGCCTTCATAACTTTTCTTTTCCACATAAAAATACACCATATTCTGAAGGTACCTTAGGAAAAAAACATTTTTAAGTTTATAGTTCTTGGTCCGCAGAGAAATTCGGTAGAGGTGACTAAAAGGGCCTGTGTCCTCTCCACCCCACGCCGCCCATGCGCCACGCATCTGGGCTTCCCGAGGCCTTGTAAACATCCGCGGCCACCGGGAACCACTTGGCCAAACAGATTCCCGAAGTCCCGCACCGGTCCGCGCTGCTGCCGCCGGGCTCCCCTTGCCCAGGGTGCCCCTCGCCCCATGGGGCGCCCTGGGCAAGTAGGGAAGGAATCGTGGTCTCCCGGGATGCCGGGGTGCTGGGCTCAGAGAACAGGATCCCTCAGCACTCCAGGGGCTCTCTCTGAGAGACAAACCAGAGGGGCTCTGAACAGGACCCTTGAAAAAAAGGAAGAGCCTTGGGACCATGCACTGCCTTGGAGGGGCGGAGCTCTGAGCCGCGGCAAAGCAGAGGCCATGGAGCCAGAGACCAAGGCTCAAGTCCTGCTTCTGCCCGCTATGAACAGTGCACCCTCGGGCAAGTTACGTCACCTCTCTGATCTCAATCTCCTCACCTCTAAAATGGGGCCAACAGAGCTGACCTTGCACGACAACCTGCGATGAATGGAGATTGTACCTGCAAAGGGGCGTGCTAAGTGCTGGCTCCCAGGGCGGGGCCTAAGGTGAGGGGAGTAAGGCCCTCCCCTCAGGCGCCCGATGTAAGGGGCTACCAAAAAGCTCGGCAAGAGAGAGAAAGGGTGCTATTTAATCCCATGTCTTTAAAAATCAAAATCGATTCAGAAAAATATCCATGATGAACAAAATATCAAAATTTTCAATAAAGATAGAATCTGACCCTGCACGTGGCGATCCTGCCTCTCTGGCCTCACTCTGATGAGACCCTGCTGGTTCTCTCTCCCTCACGGATTCAGCCCCACCCGCCCCCCCCCACCCGCCCAAGTCCTAATTTAAAGAAAAAAAAGAAGCCGCCCTGCGTGGAGCTGCCAGAGCCCAGGGCCCACTCTGCCAGTGGGCCACCCTCCCGTTAACGGGACAGACTGGCAAGGACCAGGAACCACTCAGCCCCTTCGGCTGTGGGCCCACCAGACAGAATCCAAATGGTGCGCAGGAAACCGCACTGAGGGATGGAACCCCATTGGAGGACAGTAGGGAGAAACATGGGTCCACTTCATTAAGTTAAGAAGGACGTTGTGTGTGTGTAGGGGCGTGCACGCGCACACGGGCGCATCCACGTGGCAGGGTGGCCTCGGTCTGCAGCCCCTCCAGCCTCCCGAGTTCTGCAGAGCTGCGAAGCCCCCGCAGGAACAGGGGCCATCCGTGACTCAGGAACCTCCCGGCTGGTCCTGGGCCCTCACATGGCTCGTTCTGTGGAACCAGTCTCCCGGATCCAGGCCCTGAGCAAGCAGCCGGGTTGCTTAGGCCATTGTTCAAGGCGGCCACCATGCCCACAGGAAGAAAGCAGGGTCACGAGGCGAGGCAGACAGCCTGTTGGCCTGGCCAGGTGCGGTCCGAATTCCTGAGACGTCCCTGATTGCTCCCTCGAGGGCCTCAGCCGTGAAGCAGCCCTGTCTCCCCAACCCCGGGGGGAGGTGGCGGGCTACTTACACCTGGGCTCTAAAACATCCCCCCCCCCCCAACCCTGGGGCTTGCAGCCATACAGACCCTCAGTCAGAGGGAGATTTTGTGTGAGAACTTCCAAAGTGCGTCCAGGAGCCGCGGCTTCCCAAACCCACGAGGGTGTCCAACTGAGAAGGATGAAGAGTCCGTCCATTCCCAAGCAGGACAGGACCGCAAGCTTGTTAGGCCCTTTGACAAGGTACACGCGGAAATGTACACGCAGAAAACGGTAATGAGCACAGAACCCCTAACAGGGACCCACAGGGTCCTGACTCCAGGTGACGGAGGCTGAAGAGTCAGGGGAGATTTTCTTCATTCCAAAGCCTCAACCCATCTGCTGGACTGCTCCCCACGGCCAGACGGGTTGTCTGCATGGAAGGAAGGGTGGTTGGGGGTCCGTGCTCTTGGCCAGGCATATGGAGCTGATGTGGGCAGGAAGGGCTGAGACAGCAGGGGCAGTCAGGAGTTCCGGGGTGTGGGGAGGTCAATGACTATGGGCGGATTCACAGGCTGGTAGTTCACGGTGCACACAGACGCGTTCACATAGGTGGTCGTCCCATCCGCCATGACACCGTACCCTGGAAAGTAAGCACACAGCCGTCAGGGATGAGGGGTAAGGCCGGGACCCAGGGCAGTGAGGTGGTCCAGCGGGCTTGGTAGTAGAGCACTCGGCTACAGCAGGCGGAACACATCCGGGGCAAGCTACCAAAACCCTCAACTTAGCCTCTTCATCTATAGAGGTGATGATGACAGAGCTCCTTCCCAGGCTGCTGTGAGGAGCAAATGAGATACTAATCCACATACAGTGTTCACCCGAGTGCCTGGGAAGCACATGGAGAGCACCCAGTGAGATATCTTCAGTGACCATCATCACCGTCATCATGTACTTTCTTCTCCTAGCCTCTGCTGCTATTATAGTCTTTTCCCGCCATGTCTACTTGTTACAGTCCTCATCCTGCAGCTCAGATCACCTCCAAGCCAGAAAGGACATTTCCCCTCCTCTTGTAGGTTACCCATTCTTTGGATCCCCCAAATGCGACTGTGTAGGAATGTGGTTTGGATCACACACCACCTGGGATCTGATGGCATTCCATGCCCATAGCTGGGCTACAGAAAATGACAGCCATATTGCTATCCCACAGCACATGGGTTGTCCATCCCATGACTTCTCAGATTCTGCCTTTGATGGCCTATCTGCTGCCCCTCTGTGATCTCCTTGGGGCCAGGGGAGATCTGATCCCTCCTGCCCTCCGACAACCCCCGGCAGTGGCCCTCAGGGAAAGGGCTGAGACTTGTTTGCTTCTGAGTTAGAAAATGATCTGATGTGGACCAAGCATATGTGAGGCCCAGGGGCCCTGGCCTAACACAGACGGAGGTTCAAGAAGCTGGGGGAAAACACATCAGTCCCCATGGCCCATGGGAGCCCATGTGCTTTCTGGTAGAGTGGGATGGGATGCGGAGGCCAGGGGCAGGTGGGATGAAGGTTCAAAAGGAGCAAAAGAGGGGTCTGCCAGACTGATGAATGGAGCTCCAGTGAGGAAACCCAAGGTGTAATAAGGAAAGCCTGTGTGCAGGACGTGGAGCTGTGGGGAGCCAGGATTGCAGCTGATACCACCCAGCACCATCACGGCTGCCTTGCCCACTGCCCCCCAAGGGGAAGTAAACGCCCCCTACCATTCGAACTGTGTGGACACAGCAAGTGGCCCCAGCCCCCCAGGAACAGAGCCAGAATGCCAGGTCTGTTGTGCGTGTGGTGGGGGTGGACGTGAGGTGCCATCAGAATATCTCAGGCAGGCAAGTGGCCCTCCACATTTATTAAGCACCGACTGTATGCCAGGCTGTAGGGATGTAGGCGACAAGACCGGCCTGCCAGCCTTAAGGAGCTCACAGTGTGCCTACCCAACCTAACACATCCTCCATGTTCCACCCAATGTCCCCTCCTCCAGAAAGCCCCCTGCCCACATCCCAAAGACTTCCCAGGCTGGAGGCATGGCAAGGTCGCAGCACTCCAAGGAAGTAAAACTTCCCCCTAAGTCTTGCTAGATTTTGCAACTGTCTTCCCATCGTTAAACATTTCAGCAGTGGCTAACTGATGGCCAAGTGCGGATAAAGCATTTACAGAGCGAATGTCAGGAAGGGGCTGAGAGCAGGGAGGAGGTGACTGGCTTGAAGGGAGGTGAGGGGGCCCCTCTACAGGGCCCACGAGGAGTCCCTCCCCCACCCCCCACGCCGACCTTCGTGGATGTGGCCAAAGACATGCAGCCGCGGCTGGACGCGCCTCTGCACCGTGTTGAGCAGCTCCACGCAGCCCACCCGCTGCATCTTCTTGGGGACCCAGTCCAGGAAGCCTGTGTAAGGAGAGGACAGGAGGGCAGTGACGGGGTCCAGGAGGCCAGGCCCCCAGCCCCGCAGACCCCACGCCGCAGCTTTTGCATCTCAGAGACACGAGATGCTGGATTCAGGAATCGGGCAGAACTGCCTCCCAGCTCCCAGCAAGCTCTCCCAAGGCCACCTTGTCCCCGCCTTCAGGGAGGGAAAGCCTGTGCCTCCACCACGTGCCGCCTGGGGCCTGGTCACCTGGACCCACTCCTCTGCAGGGCCACCCAGACAGCCATGCTTACAAGAGCCCCGAGTGGGCCAGGCACCTAGGGTGACAAGTGAGCACCCCCCACGACCCGGGCTCAGAGCAGCCTCAAGGGTGCCATCCACCCATTGCAGAGACAAGCACACGGAGGCCTGAAAGGGACGGGTGAGGCCCAAGGGCACCCTAGTGGGCTGGCACAGAGCAGAACCAGGAGCGAGATTTCCACGTCGGAAACTTTCGAAACAAACATCACAAAATCACGAAAATGAACTCCATTCACCGCAGCCTGGCTCACGGGGCCGTGTCTGGGTCTGCTCGCACCGCCAGCCTCCCGGAGCCGCCCCATATGGTGGCGGCTTATTATCCTCACATGGCCACACAAACGAAGAATAATTGATGACTCCAAGCGAGCAGCTAGGGTTCATCGCGGCCCCTCTCTGTTTGGGTGGGTGAGACAGGTTTCTGCATGCTCGGAAGGGGAAGGGGGATCCTCTGAGTCACTGACTCAGGCAGGCTGCCTCTGCCACTGCCTTAGTGATCAGGGAGGGAGGGAGGGAGACAGACGGAGGGAGGGAGAGGGAAGGAGGGTGGGAGAGACAGAGAGAGAGAGAGGGAGGGAAGGAGGGAGGGTGGAGAGAGACAGAGAGAGACAGAGAGGGAGGGAGGGAGACAGAGAGAGACAGGGAGGAAGGGAGGGAGGGAAAGGTCCCCCAAGCTTGGCCATCCTGCACCCCTCTACCCCGCAGCCTGCAAACCCTGGAGATGAGCATGGCTTAGCTTCGCCTCTTGCCCGGCATCGCCTGCCTCAGCCCCAAACGCTGTGGGAGTGATGGCACGTTCTGTGGAGGCAGCAGGAAGAGGGGGAGGCTGGGAGGGGCTGGGCTGCTGGGAGTTTGGACAGCATTCTAAGGCCTAAGGGAGCCATGAAGGGTTGTAGAGGGATGGCATGGCATAGCTGCCGATTCAGAGAATTCCCTCCTACTGATGCAAGGAGAGTGGAGTGGAAGGGGCGAGACTTGGGGCTGGGGGACCAGTGAGGAGACCATGGCAGTCATCAAAGGGACAGAAGACGTTGGCCTGGACCCAGGTGGGGACAGGCATGGTGGAGAGGAGAGGAAGGAGCTGGGATCCAGTTTGGAGGTGGAATCGGAGGGACGTGCAGATGGACAGGAAGTGTGTGTGAGTAAAGGGGGAGTGGAGGCCTGAAAAAGCCCCCCGATGGGACAGCCAGGGGGGCCCAGAGGCAGTTAGATCGTGTGAGCAGTGACATCAGCTTGGACCAGGGAGGTGGCAGTGGGGCCTGGAAAGAGAGCTGTTGAGGGTGGAACCCAAGGCCCTAGAGACTGTTGGGATGGGGTGAGGGGTGTGCAGGACGAAGCCCAGAGAGTGACCTTGAAGGTATTATGCCCCCAGGATGCAGGTCAAGGGCCCAGCCCTGCCTCTCCACGTCCCTGAGCTCCAGTATGCAACGTGTGGAAAATGGGCAGCTGATTCTGACCTCCCTGGGGGGCTGCGAGGAGTCCACAAGGTAACAAGCTGAACCCCCAGCACATAGTAGGTGCTCGGGAAATAAGGGGAGCCATGGGGTGAACTGTCCCCAATATCACAGCAAGTCAGACTCACAACAGAGCTCATCCGGGCTGATCTCTGTGCTCAGGTGGGGCTAGACCCCGCCCCTCTCAACACCCACACCTTCTGCATCCACTCCCAGCACAAGCAGGCCCACTGGGGGGCGGGCCAGCCAAGGCGTGGGGCAGCTGACTCTTACCCAGTGGTGGTCCATGGGTTATCAGGATGTCTACGCCTTCGGGAATGAGGTTCCATTTCTCTAGCAGTGCTTGGCCTCGAGGCAGGTTAAAGCCCCAGCCATAAAACCAGGGCTGCCTATGGAAGAAGAGCAGGCAGTTCAGAGAGAGCCACTGAGAGAGTGGGGTGGTCACAGGAAGGGGAAGCAAGTCGCAGTGCCAAATGGTCATCAGGACAGGCTTGATGCCTAGAAGCTCAAAGTAAAGGTGGGGATCGCCTGGACTTAGCCAGAATCCTGACCAACTCACAGGCTGTGGGATGTCCCTGGCATCCTCTTCTCTTTTCCCCTTCTTTCAACACAGTTTCTGTTTTTCTAGGATGAATAAATATTATTTCTGTGATTTTTTAAAAGGAAAGTTTAAAAAGAATCAGCTTCAGCCAAAGACCTCTCTTGCTCCAAGCTCCTCTAAGGAAATTCAGAGAAGAACATGCTCACCCGCCTTCCTGCCCACATCTGGGGCATGTTGAGACCCAACCCAGAGAGAATGGCTTCCAAGTGGAGGATGCTGATTCCTGCTTTCCCCTGAAGCTCCCAGCCAGGCTGAGTCTATCCCCAGCTCTAAGGGCAGGGCCAGAGGGACCTAAGCCAATTAATGGAATCTCAACTCAGACCTAGACTGAGCAATGCAAGTGATTCCCTTGGATTGACTCAATGGTGAACATGTAACCTAGATCCTTCCCATTGGTGAGAATCCCAGGCATTTCTTCTTTTGATGGTGAGAGAACAGGATGCTCTCATCCCTGCATATCAACCAGTGAGCTTCTTGCCTTGGAAGCTGTTAACAGCTATTGAGCTGTCCCAAAGGGCGATGGCTGGACCACATTGCCCAGGGTAGCCCACTGGATCAAAACTGCACCAGTCACCCACCATACCTCTGCACTTCTCAGTTATATGGGCAACATGAAGCCATTTGATTGGGCTTTCATTTCTAACCAAAGCATCCCTACTATGAATCTCCCTTGGGCCTAAGTCATTATAAGATCCCACGTTAACATAGTCCTTTAGTGTTTACAAAGTCATCATCATCATCACCACCACCATCATCATCGCCGTTATCATCACCATCATCATCATCACCATCATCACCTCCATCACCATCATCACCACCATCACCACCATCACCATCACCACCACCATCATCATTGCCATTATCACTACCATCATGATCACCACCACCATCACCATCATCATCACCACCATCAACACCATTACCACCATCATCATCACCACCACCACCACCACCACCACAATCATCATCACCACCATCACTATCATCCCCACTATCACCACCATCATCACCATCACCACCATCACCATCACCGTCCTCACCATCATCATCACCACCACCATCATCATCGCCGTTATCATCACCATCATCATCATCACCATCATCACCTCCATCACCATCATCATCACCATCACCACCACCACCATCACTATCGCCACTGTTGTGGGTCAAATTGTGTCCTCCAAAATCATATGTTGAAGTATGAAGCCCCAGGACCTGTGAATGTGACCGTATTTAGAAACAGGGTCCTTGCAGATATAATCAAGTTCAGATGAGGTGATACCAGATTAGGGCGTGCCCCTAATCTAGTGACTGGTGTCCTTATGAGAGGGTCATGTGAAAACACAGAGATACAGAAAGAAAAGGGCCATTGACAATGGAGGTAGAGATCAGAGTGATGTTGTCTACAAGCCAAGGAGCACCAAGTACTTCTAGCCACCACCAGAAGCTGGGAGAGGGGCACGAAACAGATTCTCCCTCAGGGCCCTCAAAAAGGACAAACATTGGTGAAACCTTGATCTCAGACTTCCGGCCTCCAAACTGTGAGAGAATAAATGCCTACTGTTTTAAGCCCCCCAGTCTGTGGTGATCAGTTATGTGGCCCCAGGACATCGATAGAATCATCATCACCACCATCACTATCATCACCCTCGTCACCTCCCCACCTGTCACCTCAGGGACCTTCACGCCAGCAGCGAGGGTGGGCAGATGGGTCTCTTTCTTTCTGTTTCATGGATGAGGAGATTGAGAACAGAAATTATCACCTGCATTTCCCACATACCTACCTTTTTGTCAGGTGCCATCTAAGTACATCATAGGGATGGTTTACCTGTTACAAGAACCCTGTGAATTAAGGACTAAGAGTATCCCCATTTTACAGACGAGGAACCAGAGGCTCAGAGAAGTGAGCTAGCCTGCGATTTGGGTGTGCTGACTCCTGGGCTGGGCACCTCATTACCACTCACCTCCAGCACATACTGTCCAAGTCAGCAGTGGGGCTGGGCTTTCATCTTCAAGGTCTCTCTCACATGCCCAAAGCTGCCACTAAAATCCCTCTCGTGGCGCATATGCCCTTTGTGGCGAGGCTGAGACCTCTGGCTGTTGACCCAATGGCTCTACCTGTTGGCAGCCACCCAAAGCACCCCTTTGGAACCCCGGGCATCTCACGGAACACCATTTGAAAACCCTGATTTAGTCCCACCATGGTACCTTCTGGATAAGAAGACGGAGGTTCAGTGAGGGGCAGTGAGGTGCCCAGGGTGGGGCAAGTCATGTTTGAACCCAGACCTGACTCTCTTCCCTCAGCCTTCATGTCTGCAGTGCCATCTTCTGGAACATGGGTTTGTGAAGGAGGAAGATGGGTGACCACGGTGGCTGTTTGGGGGTGAAGAGTCCTTCTGCCATCTCAAACACTTGCAGAATCCCCTCCACCGCTAGCCTTGCTCACCTGGGACTCCTACCAGGAACGCCGGTTCCCTCCTTTTCTCCTCCTGCTCACCCCTGACCTCACACCATGTTTATCCTTCAAAGCCCCGTCTGCCCCAATCTTCCTCTCACCTTGCGTGCCCAGCACCAGCCCGGAGGAGGGGAATAAAGGAATGAACGAATGAACCCGGATGAATGAATCCATGTGTTAACAGATGTCAAATAGGACTTTTCTGTTGCCTAGGGATCGCAGCCAAACCTTTAAAGCTGAGAATGATGCCCCATATTCAAAAGAGAGCCCCCAGCTACTGCCGAGAAAAACTTACTAAAAGTGGGCAGAGCACGCCAGGCCACCATCTCCCCAAGCCCCTGCCAGCCTAAGTTTTGGCCTTGAAGAAGAGGGCTGTGGCTCCTGCCTTGTTCTTATAGGGGGAGCTGAGAAGATTCTCTCATACTTAGATATGAGTGGGCCCCAGGAGAACCACCTGTACAGGTGGGGGCCTGGGATCTGCACTCTGAGGCTCTGGGAGGAGAAACGGTAAGAAACAGTCACAGAGGGACTGTGAGCATCCCCAGGTTTGGGCTGTCCAAGGAATCCCCAACCGTAGGAAGTACCTGCCAAGTGAGGAGACCAGGTGTTCGGGGCTGGGGAATAGCATCGGGGTAGGTTGGCCTGGGGACAGTCCCCTCAGAAGACCCCTCCTATCACTGGCACACCCACATCGGCCAGCCTGCACGTGCACAACCACAGAAAATGCACCCCCCAAACATACACAATTTTACACCCAACTTCAAGGCAATCTTGAGGTCAGACAGACCTGAGTGAGAATGGGTCCACCTCTTACTACCTGTGTGACCTATGGCAAGTAACTCAACCTCTCTCTATGCCTCCATTTCCCCATCTGTAAAATAGGGATAAAAATACCATCTCAATAGGGCTGTTTCGGAGGATTAAATCCATTAATCCACATAAAGCGCTTAAACAGTGCCTGGTTCAATGCACTGCAGCTGCCTTCATCATCTCCATCACCATCATCATGTGGGCCCCTCCTGAAACCCACCCATGGAGCCTTCATGAAAAACCTTTGGCCTAGGGCAGCGTTTTTCAAACTGCATTTTGATGGGTCACAACACTTTTTTAAAAAGAAAAGAAAGCATCAAAGAAAAAAAAAAAAAGAAGAGTATCTCCTAGCAGGGAAAGGATACTTCAGTTAAATATATTTATATTTAAATAGATACCCACGTATGGAGGTACTGAGTCACAATGTGAAGTGCTTTTCCTACCATGGTTCCTGGTCAGAAACAGTTGACAGTCGTGCTCAGCCAGCTGGGGCGGCTCCTGCCCGAAAAGGCTGAGCTCCCAGCTCTGCAATTTCTGAAGCCCTCAGACTCTGGGCATCATCAAAGCCCCCCTCTGGCTGAACCAGGGCAGAGTGACTGCAGGGAAGGCTGCAGCTGTCTGGGAGCCGCTCCGAAAGCCAAGCCTAGTGGTCCTCCCAGGAGCCCAAAGCCCCGTCGGCCTCCGGGGGGAAAAAGCAACGGGTTTCTGGCACTGCCTTCCAAGTACAAGATCCATTCTTCAAAAATCTAATCAAATATTTACAAGACAGGATGAGGCCTCATCTGCATGGAGAGAAGGCGTCTGTTAGTTCCTGTGAGCCACAGCAAGGGGTAGCTTCTTGAAAGAGACACTTAGAAATGTATCAGAGACCCCACAGGCCCCCACGCAAGCCTCCACCTGCCCCAGCTTCCCCTCACCCAGTACTACTGAGCCTTCCCCTTGGGGTGGCGTTTCCCCATAGATACACCTGCCTAGTTCCTGGAAATACACCACCTCCAATCCTGGGAAGGTGGAATCCACCCTGTCCCTGGGGAGACCCTGAGAGCTTGCTCAAGGTACCGAGGTTGGCATCAGACATCTGGTTCTGCCCCTGGGCCGGCGACTTCACCTCTCCCAGCAGGATAGTGATGCCTATGCCCCCAGATCTTACCCCATGAGGGCGAGGGGTCCTTCTTGTGAGGTGCCATGACCCTGACACAGAGGGGAGGGAAAAAAGGAGAGAGGCAGGAGGTTTAAGAGGCTTAAATTATACTTCCACTATGAAAACTCCTTCTAAATACCCAGGAGCTCCATCAATGGGAAAAGGGGAGGATCTAGCTTTTATGAAATTTTAGAGGGAGCAGGAAGAGTCAAGTCATTCATGCAAACATCCAAAGGAGCTATTTGCCAGGATGGCCCATGGGTTGGGGAACACCCTCGTCAGGCCAGGAGCTTTCTCTGGCACAGCGGGAGAGACAGACTCTTCACGGTGACCTCACCCTCCAGAGGCTGTAAACATCTCGGCCCCTCCTGTGGATGTCCAT